TGGTAACCGAGGTAAACCTGGTTGGTTCGAACCAAACGGAATGGTTCATTGATACGGGTGCGACCCGTCATATGTGTTCCAACCGTGAGTTGTTTACTACCTTCGAGATGGCTAATAGCAGGAAGGTATGGATGGGAAACTTTGCTCAGTCTGTTGTGGAAGGCATGGGCATAGTAGTTCTCAAAATGACCTTTGGGAAAGAGCTGACTCTGAACAACGTCTTGTATGTACCGGAGCTACGAAATAACTTAGTTTCTGGTTCATTGTTGAACAAGAATGGCTTCCGATTAGTGTTTGAGTCAGATAAAATTGTTTTGTCGAAATCAGGAATGTACGTAGGCAAGGGTTATGTGCTAGATGGGCTTTTTAAGCTCGATGCAATAACCGCGATTAATAAAAACATTATTAATTCAGCCTACTTACTTGAGTCTTTGTGTTTGTGGCACGGTAGACTGGGTCATGTTAATTTTAATTCTATACGTAGATTAATTAACTTGGACCATATTCCTGCATTTCAAGTTGATAAGCACAAATGTGAGATTTGTGTTGAGGCAAAACAAACGAAAATTCCTTTTAAATCGATTGAAAGGAAAACAGAACCACTTGAGTTGGTTCATAGCGATGTATGTGATTTTAGATCAATACAATCACGCGGTGGTAATAAATATTTTATCACGTTTATCGATGATAGCACACGATACTGCTATGTGTTTTTGCTTAAGAGCAAAGATGAAGCCGTTGATAAATTCATTCTTTATAAGAATGAAGTGGAAAACCAACTTCATCGGAGGATTAAGAAGGTTAGAAGCGATCGAGGTGGTGAGTACGAAGCACATATTGGTGACTTCTGTGCAAGTGTAGGTATCATACACTGGCACCTTACGCACCTCAATCGAACAGTGTTGCCGAATGAAAAAATAGCACATTGAAAGAGATGATTAATGCGATGTTGATAAGTTCGGGCCTACCTCAAAGTATGTGGGGTGAGGCGATTTTGACAAGTAACTCCATAATCAGCCCACTTGTGGCCCATAATTGGTTGTCTCATTTGCTTTTTGCACGCTTTTTAAGGAATTAAAGTAAATGTTATGTATTTTCCAATTATGCCCTTCACTTTTTCACTTTTGGGAATAAAAGCAAAAGTCATAAGGGTAATTTGGAAAAAAGTAGAATGATGGTGATGTTCAATTTTGGAAAGAGGACAACATTTTGGGACAAACTAAAAAGGAAAGTAAGACATGCAAAATGGGACAGAGGGAGTACCTTTTAAATAAGGTTCTCCGTAAGAAGCTCGATAAGACTCCTTATGAGTTGTGGAACGGTAGGAAACCTTCCTACCAATACCTGAAATTGTGGGGGTGTCTTGCCAAAGTTTTGGTGCCAACACCTAAGAAAATAAAGATAGGTCCTAAGACGGTGGACTGTATCTTTATTGGCTATACACATAATAGTAATGCGTATCTGTAACACCCCCTAATTTCCATGCTAATTTAAGCCTTAAACATGCAGATATCTAAACAAAACATCAAACATAGTGGAAGTCTAACAAGGATTATATAAACTGGAAACGAAAGGGGTGCTATGCCACGCTTACCCAGTGGTGAACGCACAGGCTAACATCTACATAATTCACAATCTAAAAACCATACATATCCAAAGTACTAAAGTCTATCCTTGGCACACAGGCCATAACAACACAAGATGGGAGCTACACTAGCAGGTTCTAGACCGCGCTCATGTCTATACATCACCTGAAAGAAACACATAAAAGATGGGACGACGCCCGGTCAGCGAATAATGCTGGTAACCCACCAATACATGTGAAATATCATACATAGATAAGATATACGTTTGTAAAATCATTTGCGAAACGGAATACGTATATATAAGTTCAAAGCCAAGAGCAGAAGTCAACACAGGACTCAAACACTCATAACGAAGTAAGGGAACACATCCCAAGGCCACAAAGAACAACGACTCACAAGAACGGCTCAAGGTATAATCTACCATCACACAGTAGATTAACACCCGACATGCATAACACAAGAGAGTAAAGACACCACCATTGGCAACACATGCCTTTGTGACTACACACGTCACAAGAATAGAACTCACAACAACCGCTACACAAGCCTTCGTGACATCACCCATCACGAATTGATATGCCTTCTTTATGCCCGGTTCCAACCTTATGGCTACCCCCAACGTTATGTCTAGTTCCAACCTTTACCTCCAGGACCCCTGTACACCAAGTCCAACCTTATTACTCCGAGGACCGTCGTCCCCTCTCCAACAGATCTCCAATAGAACCACCGATTTCATAGTACACGAGGGTACCGATCACACACACGACAACACATGCCACCCAAGAAATACGTGAACCTTACACAAAGGCCACAAACTCCATAATCACGCCATGGCTACCACAAGGACCACTGCCGTACCTTGGTAACTAGTATCCCATACCACTAACCGTGCAATCCAGGTACAACCACGCACACCATACCACAACAGGAATCAATCAACGGATCACAACGAAGATATGAAACCATACTCAATCAAGGAGTGGATCACAGTCCAACAACAATGATGATTAATACAAGTCATCATCAACATTAGGAAGGTACAAACAACTCACACGCTAGCATTTAAACGCCGAACTAGCATGCTCATCAAACGGGTAAACCAAAGGTAGTTCCGAAGAACACACAAGACTCACCATGGTTCAACGAATCACAATGTTGAACACTTAGCACGATTCAAGACACCAACACCTACATGGATTCCTACCATATAGTTCTAGACATACGAAACATCAAGAAGACACTCAAATAGTTCCACAAAAGAATATCGGGAAGTCAAAAGACCAAATACCGAGTCAAAAGAATCACGGGGAACAAATCCCCCAACAACACCAACATGTTTCCCGCGGGTGGACCCACGGGTAGACCCCCACCCGTGGTTCCGCCCGCGGGTACACACCCACGACCACATGTACCCCGCGGGTAGGGCGGCGGGTGGACGCCTACCCGCCGTTCCGCCCACGGGTACACACCTGTACACCAAAACATCCCTTCGGAGATTTTCAACACCAAGCTCAAATTCAAGTCCAAAACATGCCAAATCTCACCAAATATAACAAAATGACTTGAATCAAATGAATAGCCAAGCAATGGCATACAATAACCCTAGTAACAAGCTCTAGATATGCATTTTCACAAGACAATGCATAAACACTCACATTTCATAGCAAAATCACATGTAGAATCCAAGAAATCATCATATAAGTAAGCAAAATAGAGAGCATGGGTTACCTCTTGTAGATAAAAACCTTCACTTAACACTTCACCAAGCTCCTAATAAGGCTCACCCTCCAAACCCACTTCAAGAACACACCAAAAGATCATAAAGATTCTATCTTTAAGAAAAGACACCTTAGAAAACACTAAAAACACAAGATGAACATAGATCTTACCCTCCTAGATGCTCAAAGGTATGAAAGGTAGAATCTTGGAGACAACCCTTGAAGATTTGACAAAGCTTCAACTTGGCTTGGAAGAAAAGCTATCTAACTTTTAGAGAGAAGGTAGAGCTAAAGTTTGGAAAGTGTAAGGAGAGAAATGAGGAGTGTCTACTAGGTTAGCTTGCATTACTAACACAATGTGAAAAGTCATGAATACCCTTACTAAAATGAAGAGGTGTAAGGGAACAAGGGAACTACTCACAAAGCTTAAGGTACAACCTTGACTTTGGGGTTTACTAGTCAATTACTAGTCCCCGACTATTGAATTTTTAGGAATTTAAGGAATTAAATTACCAATTGAATTAGGATTAATTACTTAATTAATCCCTTAATCGAATTTGGATTACGGGGTGTCACAGTATCGGTTCTTAGTACACGAGTCCCATAATCCAGACATACATAAGAACACGATAATTGAATCAAGGAATGCATCGTTCTTTGAAGATGTATTTCCGTGTAGGTCCAGTGAGGGACCTAGTACGTCGAAACGAACATTCGACGAGGCTATGGATAACGGCAGTAGAGGGTCTGAAAGAGAACCTGAGCTCGAAGCTAGACGTAGCAAGCGAGTTAGGATTGAAAAATCCTTTGGTCTAGATTTTCTGACGTACATGTTAGAATGTGATACGCATATTCTAACTTGTTTACTAGAAAATGAACCAGATTTTCTGACATGTTTGTTAGAAACGAGCCTCAAACGTATGTAGAAGCTGTGACTTCTACGGAAGGACCAATGTGGAAAGAGGCTATAAAGAGTGAAGTTGATTATATCTTACAGAATCACACTTGGGAACTGGTTGATCTTCCTCCGGGTAGTAAGCCCTTGGGACCCAAGTGGGTCTTTAGACGAAAGTTGAAACCTGATGGTTCCATTGAGAAGTATAAGGCTAGACTTGTAATTAAGGGTTACAGGCAACGCGAGGGCCTTGATTACTTCGACACATATTCTCCCGTAACGAGAATAAATTCCATAAGGATGATACTTGCCATAGCCGCACTGCGAAATTTGGAAGTTCATCAAATGGATGTGAAAACAGCTTTCTTGAATGGCGAGTTAGATTAAGAAATCTATATGGAACAACCTGAGGGTTTTGCGGTTCCGGACCAAGAAAAGAAAGTCTGTAAATTGGTTAAATCGTTATATGGTTTAAAACAAGCGCCCAAGCAGTGGCACGAGAAGTTTGACCATGCGATGTTAACCAATGAGTTTAATATAAACGAAAGTGACAAGTGCGTCTACGTTAAGGAAACGATAGACGGTTATGTCATTCTTTGTTTATATGTGGATGATATACTCATCGTGGGTAGTAACGATCGAATGATAAAATCTACCAAGGACATGTTAAATTCGAGATTTGACATGAAGGATATGGGTTTGGCAGATTTAATCCTTAGGATTAGAATCGTGAGAAGACCTGATGGTTTCGTGTTAAGCCAATCTCATTATGTTGATAAAATCCTTGCAAAGTTTAACAAGGATGATTATCAAGTGGCTAGGACTCCATTAGATACTAACATTCATCTGTCCAAAAATCGCAGAAAATGTATCTCTCAAGTAGAATACGCTAGGATTATTGGAAGTTTGATGTATCTAATGAGCTGTACCAGGCCTGATATTGCCTTTGCGGTTAGCAAACTTAGTAGATATACGAGTAACCCTAGTGATGCGCACTGGAAGGCAATAGTGAGAGTTATGAGATACTTGATGTATACTCGTGACTGGGGACTGCACTATACACGATATCCTGCTGTACTTGAAGGGTATAGCGACGCTAACTGGATATCGGCCACGGTTGGCTACGTGTTTACGTTAGTCGGTGCAGCTGTTTCTTGGAAATCCTCGAAACAAACCTTGATAGCTAGATCCACGATGGAATCTGAGCTGATAGCCTTAGACAAATATTGTGAAGAAGCTGAATGGCTACGCCATTTTGTGGAGGACATTCCTTGTTGGGATAGACATGTACCTCCAATTAGTGTGCATTGTGATAATCAAGCAACAATTGGGAGAGTACAAAGTCATATGTATAATGGTAAGTCTAGACATATACGTCGAAAACATAATACCATTAAACAACTACTCACAACGGGTGTTGTCTCTGTTGACTATGTGAAGTCAAAGGACAATATAGCGGATCCGTTAACCAAAGGGTTGAGCAAAGATGTTGTTGAGAAGTTGGCACGAGGAATGTGTTTGAAGCCCATGGAATAAAAGTTCTATAGTGGACACCCAACCTAGCTAGCACCTAGGTTCAATGGGACAACTAAATTATGGAACGAAGCGTGTCACTGTGGCGGGTCTCGGACTCCCTACCATTCCTCGTTAGAATAGTGACTTCCGCACGAGGCTAGCATGTTGATGCTTTAATGACTCGAATGTCGGTTGACATGTGTGAGTATGCGGGATACTCGATAAAGAATCACCTATGTTAGAGAGAAGTGGGATCGCTTCAAAGGAGAATTGATGGACTCAATTCTTTAGAAACTCTCGCAGAACCATGAAGGTGACCCATGACCAAAACAGGCACACCCATGAGAACAGAACAAAGGTTGGAAGGTTCCTGTGTGGGATATGTCATCGTCTACACAACGGCAGTTGGTTCAAAGACATCAAGTTCTACCATACAGCTAGTAGAGTAAACATATCTTCACAAGGCAAGGTTCAAAGGGTAACACCTACCTATGCTATGCAGGGATCGACCGTTGAGCACGTTCGTGTCGATTTTTCCTCGTCCCGAAAATCAATTTTCATTCATGTGGGGGATTGTTGGATTTTTTAGCAAAAAATGGCATTTTGAGTGACTATTTTGTGGTACAAATATATGTGGGATCCACTTCCGATTTGGGTCGGGTCAAAGTAGATTCGGGTTCTTCGTAGCGAGACGAAGAATTTGACATAATGTACGCTCAAAATGGGTAATAGGTGAATGAGGAATTGATTCTCAAAGTGAACCTATTTGAGAGAAGTCAAAAACTTAAGTTTAGATGCAAATTAAAAATTTGCATTTTAATATCTTTCGTTGCATTGCACGAAAGTTTGTGTTAAGCTTAAGGAGGCGTTTGGTTCAGGTTATATAACATAACCAAGGGAATGTGACATTCCAAAGCTCACATACCTATGTTTGGTTCACATTATCTTAGGGAATCTAACATTCCCCAGGAATGTCACATTCCCTCCACATAGGATTTTGAAGGGAATGTGATTCCCTTCAATTTCTAAGGTTATGTAAGATAACCTTGGTTATGTTAGTTTATTACACACACACACATATAATTATTTTTGTAATTATATATTTTTTTATTTTTATTATGTTAGGTTAGCATATAAAATAATTTTGTTTCTCAAGTTCAATATTTTAGTTAATATTTTAAAATCATGTAATTATATATGATACCGTTATCTTATTTATTTATTTTAATTTTTAAATTTATTAAAATATATGAAAATATGTTAAGGATATTATACTATGTGAATAAAAGATAACCCTAAACCAAACATGATTATATTACATACCCCAATTTTAACCAAACACAAGAATCTAACATTCTCAGTAATCTAACATTCCCAGCAATCTAACATTCCATAAGGTAATCTGACATTCCGTGAACCAAACGACCCCTAAGTGTAATTAAGCTTTGGTTGCTTAATTAGTGAATTGTGATTTTAGCACATTTTGTGCTTTGCTTCTATTGCATGGACGAAAGTTGTGCACGAAGCAAGAGTGCTTAAGCTTTGGATTCCAAAGCAGCTCATTTCGTGTTGTGGATTCGATGTGCACGAGTCAATGCTATATGCATTGATTCGTGCTGCACCGTTTTGGTGCTTGCGGACCACTCGGGTGTGGTTTCTGGTCCCAATTTGTTAAACCCTCGGGTTTGTACGGACTTCTCGGTCACTCAGATATTTTTGAAACGGGTCGTTATGGTCGGTACGAATTAATCAGATATTAAGTTCGTGACCGTTGATATTATTTCGATAATAAATACGACAATTTCAAACGTTATAATTCAATTATTAAATTGGATTTATGTTGGTTTAATGTGCCATTTAGTGGGCTACTAACTCCTCTCTCCCATATAAAAACCTATGTGTTGGGTATAATGTTTTATCGAATTTTTAACTTGCAAAATCATATTTTTCTCTCATCTTCTCTCAAAAGTTGTTTCTTACAAAGAGATTCTACCAACACTTCCGTAAAACATCGGAGTGCTCAACTTGTGTTCTAGTTCGCCGGGCTTTGGGTTGGAGTGCTCGAACGCCAAAGTCGTAGTCCGTTTTATCTTGGGAGACTGACGCCACAACGATCCTAGCACCCTCGGGAGGTGGCGAATCGGTTTTAAGGAGAGTGTGTGTACACACGACTCGGGCTTCCTCTGCTTCTTCTTTCTTCTCGTTGGGTTAAAACCTCAGGTTAGAAACCCGTCTTGTGTTTTATTTTGTTCTTGGTTTCGGACCAAGTGGTGGGATTAATCTCGGAAAGATTAAATCCTTGTACTAGTTTTGTACTAGTTGTGGTGAGATTAATTTCGTGAAAATTAAGTCCCGTGTACTAGTTTCGTACTAGTTGTGGTGGGATTATTTTGATAAAATAAATTCCTATTTGGTTAATATATATACGTTGTATATATATGTAATTTTGGTTTCGTACCAAAATTGGTTGGAATTAATTTTCTATGAATTAAATTTCATCTTTCGGGACAAATATATATTTTATATATTTTATGTGTATCGATTTATTCACCATTTCCAACAATATATATATAATTTGGGGACGGGAGGGGTGCGGGGGTATCCCCGTTTCCCGAAAATTTTCTCCATTCCCGTCTCCTTCGGGGTGGGAGTAGGGGATCCCCGTCAGGGACGGGACACATTGTCATCCCTAATATAAACATACATCTTTTATATATATATATATATATATATATATATATATATATATATAGCCACATTCGTAATTACATGTTATTAGGAGAAAATTAAAATCAAACTCAATCCTCCTTCAATTTTTTTTTTTAATAAATTTGATGTAATTTGGGACAAAAATACAATGATATTCCAGTGATTTTCTCTAACTTTGAAAGAGTAAATTTTAACAAAATATATAAATTACATTTATATATAGGAAAAAACTTGTGTGAGACTATTTCATAGACCTTTTCGTGAGACAGCTCGGGTCAAGATAAAAGTGTAATATATGTACCGAAAAATGTAATATTAATCAAGAATAATGTTTATTACTTATATGAGAAAATATAATACTTTTGAAAAAAAAATGTAATAATTTTACATTTTGATTTAAAAGTTTTACATTTTTCCTAAAAAATATTACATCTATCTACTATCTACTATACTAATAAGAGCCCAAGAGAGTTAGGCCTATAATGGGTAGAAAAAATGGCGGTCAAATTTTTTAATCAAATGAATGGCTCAGATTGATCAGATTTTAATTTTTCCTCATTTCCTAATTTATCCTTAATGAATATGATTATCCGTTAACTTTTCTGTTAAATATTATATTTTCCGTTAACTTCTGTTAGTTTACCGTTAACTTACTCATTGATTTCAATAACTTACTCATTCTGTTAAGAAAGTTCACCGTTAACTTTTAGAATTTTGTGTCTACAATGTCTTTATTAAAAAAAAATTATTCATTATCAATAAATTAAATAAGAGAAATAATTTCATTAGTTATATTGTCTTTATTTTTCTCAAATATCAAAATTTTTTACATTCAAATTCATCAATTGATTATATTCACTACATTGTCCCTACAATGTCTTTATTAAAAAAAAAAAATTATTCATTATCAATAAATTAATTAAGAGAAATAATTTTATTAGTTATATTGTCTTTGTATTTCTCCAATGTAAAAATTCTTTACATTCAAATTCATCAATTGATTATATTCACTACATTGTCTATTATCTTTTTTTGTGCACTATTTTTTAATTAAATATCAAAGTTAAAATACAAAATAATGTTATATATTTATTTACCAAGTATTTTATTAATACCATGAAAAAATTAAAAAATTATAATTAATAAAGTCAATCATATTAACTACGTGAGGGATTTGTTAACAACGAGAGTATTCAAATCACACAACATATTGAAGTGAGAATTACCTCGCAATGTCCTTGTTTGACAATCAACATTTAACGGTTAGCGTTAGCGGATTATATTAGCGGATTTGACCAGCGAATTATATCAACGGTTGGTAAAAAGATATTTAAAAAAATTAACTGTTTAGATTAACATGTAAAGTGACCTAAGGGTAATAATAATAATAATAATAATAATAATAATAATAATAATAATAATAATAATAATAATAATAATAATAATAATAATAATAACAATAATAACAATAATAACAATAATAATAATAATAACAATAATAATAATAATTGTTTTTAAAAAATAAAAAATAAGCCAATCATATTAACTACTTGGGCGATTTATTGACAAAAAGAGTATTCAAATCACAC